CTGCTGTGTTTACACCCAAATGTTTCTGCAAACAGTGCATATGTAATGATGGTCTGATGATTCATTCATTGACACTGATATCATCCCAGAAAGTAGCACCATATTCTTTTTCCTTGTTGGGTGCCCTGATTGGAAAGATGTGCAAATGTCACTGCTTCAAAATTATGATGGTGCCTTAGAAAAGAGAAGGGAAAGTCAGGTCTAGCCCAAACTTAAGTGGAAACCAGCTGTACTGTATTTGTAGACACACAATCTTGGGTGATCTCACTAGAAACACACGTGAATAAATTAACTTAGCGAATTACTTCCTAAATGCTTGGTAATTGGTATAAACATATATTTTGAGACACCTTCATAGTGTTCATCTCTCTGCAGATCAAGCAGAACATGACTAGTGCCTGTTTCCTGAACAGTGTGTCTCCTCTGGGTTGCACAGGAGGCCTACAGAGGACAAAAAACCCTCAAAAAACAAAAAACCAACCCATCCCTGATGAATGGAAAGAAAGAGAGGCTAATGACTGAGTTCATTGAGAAAAACAATAGTCAGCCATGAATTCCTGACCTCAGATTTCAGTCTTGCTATTTTCTCACTGAATAGACTTGGGTAAGTCCCTCTAGCTCAGTTGTGATTATGTTCCTTTTAGAGATGGAATATTTACCTCATAGGTTTGCTATGAGGATTACCTCATGCATGTACGTGATAGGTTGCATCATTATGAGTGTTAAGAAAATAGAATGGTGTGAACAGAAGCAAGAGAGGAGGATGGATTATGATGGCTTTGCTGGAAGTAGCCTCTGAGGAGGGAGTAGTTGATAGATTGTAAAAATGATGATGATAAATTTGAAAGCCTTTGGGGGCCCTTCTAAGAGTCTATTATCTGGCAAATCTCAGTAGTTGCTGCCATGACAAAACTAACATGAGTAGAAAACAGTTTTATACTTCCTATGTTGGAATTTTTTAAAGATTTTGATTATTTTTTCTGGTAAAATTTTGATTTATAACAATTACATCCCTTTTTCAGGGGGGGCTTCAATTCTTGTATAGTTTTACATTCCCTGGCCCCATCCTCACGATCATATTTGAATAACTTGGAACAAAAGCCTTATGAAATAGGAAAGGATTTTTATTTCCAGATGGGTCAAAGGCCTGCTTCAAAGCCTACTGAATGAAGTGGAAAGAACACCATTTAATTTCATTGGACTCTGGATCTGCAAGGTACTGCACCTGAGGGGGAAGAACCAGCAGCACACCTACAGGCTGGGGAACTCCCTTCTCATCAGTGCAGAGGCAGAAATGGATCTTGGAGTCATTATTGATGCCAAAACGAACATGGGCCAACAGTGTGGGGACGCGGTCAGGAAGGCCAACCACACCTTGTCATACATCCACAGATGCATCTCAAGCAGGTCCAAGGAGGTGATCCTCCCTCTCTATGCAACACTGGTCAGGCTGCAGTTGGAGTACTGCCTCCAGTTCTGGGCACCATACTTCAGGAGGGATGTGGACAACATGGAGAGGGTCCAGAGAAGGGCCACTTGCATGATCAGGGGGCAGCAGGGCAGGCCCTACGAGGAGAGGCTAAGGGACCTGAACCTGTTCGGCCTCCACAAGAGAAGGCTGAGGAGGGATCTAGTGGCCATTTACAAACTAGTCAGGGGGGACCAGCAGGCTTTGGAAGAGTCCCTGTTCCCCTGAGCACTGCCAGGAGTGACAAGAAATAACGGTCGCAAGCTGGCAGAGGGTAGATTGAGACTAGATATCAGGAGGCGCTACTTCACTGTCAGGGCAGCTAGGATCTGGAACCAAGTTCCAAGAGAAGTGGTGCTGGCTCCTACCTTGGGGGTCTTTAAGAGGAGGCTGGATAAACACCTTGCAGGGGTAGTTTGACCCCAGTACTCTTTCCTGCCATGGCAGGGGGTTGGACTTGATGATCTGCTCAGGTCCCTTCCAACCCTACCAACTATGAGACTATAAAACTCACAAAATAGCAACAAAAATATCAAAGGATTTTTTTATTAGACAGCTGCCCCATGGCGCAGGTGCCAAGCTGTGCTGAACCTGTGCCATGGGGTAGCTGATACACAGGTGCCAGGAGTGGGGGTGATCCCCAACTGCCCCCACTGTCCTGTACTGCATGGCAGGGGGGCTCTGTCATGAGCCCTCAGAGGCCCTGATCTCTGCTGTTGCACCCGGTGAGTGCAGGAATTTATTTATTTTTTAGATGCCAGGAGACTGGGGGTGGGTGGAGATAGAGCTGGGCTGGGCTGGGCTGGGCTGGGCTGGGCAGGGCAGCCATGGGGGCTTCTCCTGAATCTGCCCCCACCTGGGGAGAGGCAGGCACAGCCGGAGAAGCTGCAGGGGAACCTGCAGCCACCTGGCTGTGCCTGCCTCTCCCTGGCCAGTCCAAATCTCTGAATCTCTCCGAATCTTTTCTGAATCAGTTCAGAGGATTTGGGTTCGATTCAGACCTTTTAATAGGTCTCCCAATTTGATTTGGATTTGGAGATCCGGCCACCAAATCGGGTCGAATCTCATTGAAATTGAATTGGCGACTGAAGCTTCACACAGCCCCACTAACTATCTATACTAGTAAGGGTTAAGTCTGTGTGGCTATATGTTACATAAGGCAGAATTGAACATTAAGTAGCTGATTACAAGGGAGCAAGTGCACTACCTTGTTCCCTTCAAGGTCTAACAGGCCTGAATAAAGACCTCTTTAATCATACTGTAATGGATTATCTACATAGGGGAAAATGAAATTTAAAATCAGTACATAAGATGGGATATATCTAGTAAAGAATAAATCTTGACTAATATTGCTCGATTGCACTACTCTTTCCAGAATCATTAGTAATGTTCTCAGTTGCTTTCACTGGATTGTGGCAATAAGCCAAAAAGGAAAGAATAACCTGAATTTTAAAACAAAATCATAACAAAGTTCAAATGAAATAGCATGTATAAAAAAGGTCTTCTATTTTCAAAATCAGTGGTGGCTATATCATAAACCCTTCATCTTTTTTCCAGAAATATGGATATTGTTATTGTTATTATATTAACACTAAAATGATAACATTTGTCCAGCAAGTAATAAAAGACAATAACTTAATTTTCAGAGGAAATCTAGTATTTTTAGGTTGAATGTATGCACCATTTGGAGTTAGTTGCAATTCACTAATTTTCAATTAATTTGTTAAGATCAGCTTTCATTCCTTAATTTTCAGTAATCAGTGTCACTGCTCTATGAAAGCACCTCTGTAGTCTAAACAGTAATACTCATTTATGTGATAAATAATGGATAAATACTAAGTGTGCCATTAGCTGTTAATGTAGTGGATTGATTCCCTGCAGCACATACTCTCCACCCTTGTTTTAACACTTATGCCACCTGTCTCTTGCACTTACTGTCTGATGCTTCAATAAGAGTGAATGGGGTTCCCTGATCATTCTTAATTTAGCTCATTTTTATCACCTCATAAATATGCTGTCAGAAAATAAACTCATCTTTCTATGGTAACACAGAAAGAAGTACAAATCAAACAGTGTACTACTACTATCATTACTGTTATACTGAAATATAGTCTAGGCATCATAACATGTATAGATTATTTATTACTAACAAGACAGACCAAGCAGACATAACCTGTTTTTTTTTTCCTTTCTATTTAACCAAAATTGGTTGGGAGTCACCACCAAAGTCTGTCCCAGTGAATGGACCAAAGGAAAATCAACGGAAACAGGTTTTTCCACTCCTTGCAGGGGTAACATCTATATCCCACTTTCTGTCTCACAAAAGCAGGAATCTGCAAGGGTAGACGGAAGAAGGAGTAAAAATGACTAGTGTCAGGTCCATTTATCCAGGCCCAGACACCCATGGAACTCTGATGGAAGTTGGATTCGTGGCTTCTGGTAACTTAATCTCAGCCTCAAAACAGCTGATGTCGATGTTCCCAACCTTTTTAGATTCAAAGCACCACTTTATAACTTTTTAAAATTTGGTGGCACCCCAGTTAAGAACCACTGTTGTGCTGCCTCAGTGTACTTCAGTGGTAAACTGGGATGCTGTTGCCACCACCTTCTTGTGCCTGCATTAGGGTTGTCTGATAAGCCTAAGCTTCCAGGAGTACTATTTCTTGCTGCAGCCCTTTCTAGTCTTTCCCCTCCACCCACTAACTATTTCCAGAAACAGAGGAATGCAGGACAGTTCCACCTACTCCACGGACCTCTTCCTGGAAGACCACTGAGTCTCTGGAGAAGTCAACATGGTTTTTGTAAAGGGAAATCCTACCTAACAAATCTGCTGGCATGAAGATGTAAACAAGCATGTGCACAGGGGGGATCCAGTTGACATAATATGCTTAGACATTGAAATTTTTTTTGACAAGACTCCTCAGCAAAGGCTTTTAGAAAAACTGTTTCCATATGACTGGAGGGAAGGTTCTTTGTGGACTTAGGGCTGGTTAAAAGATAGGAAGCAAAGGCTGGGGCTAAATGGTCTCTTTTCAGGACAGAGAGAGGGTAAAAGTTGGAGTCCTGCAGGGATCTGTGCTGGTCCCTAATTTGTTCAACATTTTCATCAATGACCGAGAAATGGAGGTGCGCAGTGAAATCTCAAAATTTGCAGATGACACCAAATTATTCCCAGTGATCAAATGCCCAATTGATGGAGAGGATTTCACCAAGTGAGTGACCAAAACATGGCAGATTTACTTCAATGATGACAAGTGCAAAGTAATGCATCTGGGAAAAATGACCTCAACAATACTTACATTAAGCTGGGTAAAAACTACTGTATTTACTTGAATCCAAGATGAGGTTTTTTTCCTCCATTTAACATGGGGAAAAAAGCCCCTCACCTTGGATTTGTGTATGCAATGGTGCCAGGGCAAGCAGCTGCTACCTGCTCCCCCACCACCTCTGATCTTTTGCCTCTCCCCATCCACTTTGCAGCCTCTGTCCTTACTCCTGCCAGTCCCTGTAGCCTCTTACCAACCCCTCTTACTGGTCAACTCCAGTGGCATCTTTTTCCTGAGCAAATGCATCAAGCACAAACGTCATTATAAACAGTTAAACACCATCTACAGAGTAACAAATACAAAACTATCTGAAGATGCCTTCACTCTAAGCAGTGGCACCTCCTTGTCTATGTTATTGTTAAAGTCTCTAATCAGATGGATATTTGTATCATGAGCCATGCGAGGTATCAACTACTGCTGGACAGATCGTCTTATTGTTAGATCCATTACGAACACCTGGCTTGCTCAAAAACACTGAAAACAGCTCAAAGCAATGTGAAGATTTTTCAATATCAAATCTCTTCAAGACCAAAGTCTGCAAGGCTCTCCAACAGTGTTTTCATGAAAGGTGCTCTGCCCTGCCCACAACTGTAGAACTCTGGAACTCATTATTAAGGAACTCTGGAAGGGATTTAAAGCTCTCAACTATATGTCCTGTGCTGAATCCATTGGCTATACCACCCATCAAAACAGACTGGTTACATGAGAGTGACATCAAGATCCAAGCCCTCCTCAGCTGGAAGAGAAGGTCTTACTCTGCTTGAGTAGGACTCAGGGTTCCAGGTAGAATGGTAAAGAAGACACAAAAAATGACAGGAAAAGGCTTCTTTAGGAAAGCACAACGCAGGAGTAAAACCTGCCGGAAAAGCTTCATCTCAGCAGAAGGAGGAGACATAGCAGCTCCTCAAATCTGAAGCTCAAAGAAGAACCCAGAAAATCAAATTTCTATTTCAGCAGATTTCTATGGAAGAAAGAATATCCTAGGGTCTTCCAGACAAGCTGCACAAAAGCCCTTCATGCATTTGGCTGGTAAATCATCTAGCCCTGTGATTAGCAGGTGTGTTGGCAGGTTTTGTAGCTTCCTCATCAGTTGGGTTTATTATTAGTTATTTCTCCTGTTTTGCTAGTTTATTTGCCAGGGAAATCTCATCCTCTGGTTTCTGTGTTTTCCATTTTATTTTGCAGTTTTCAGCAACACAAAGAATGTGTTGTTTTTTGTTTTTTGGAGGAAGAGTGAGGATTTTTCTGTCTGGATTGTGGGGCTGGGTGAGGCTGGGGTGTTAAGGTAGGAGGTCAAAAGTTGTGCTGAGGGTTACTAATAATAATCGCCCCCTCATCCTGCTGTGTCTGATGAAATGTCTGATGAAACCTACCTCGCTTCATAGCTTCAAACTTTCCAGGGGCCGGATCAAACTTCCCATAAAAAATCATGATGGGATTAGGAAAAAGGAAACCCCTTTGAACTCCCCTTCTTCAGGCAAAGTTAGAGTGTCAGCTGCCAGAGAGAGTATATTTCTGGGGACCTAACAATGTCACTGGGTTGTCCATGTGGGGACCCTCTGCCACCACATTCCCTCATGACCTCCTCCTTCTTTCTTATCCCCCAACTCCATGCATCTCAGCCCTATGTCCTCCCTATCTACCACTCCCTTAGTAGAAGGAACTTCAATGGAGTCTTTAACTTTTGTGTATCTCTCCCATTCCTACCTGGGCCCATTCTCATGGGGACTACTGTACTTGGTTCAGGGAAGACAATGCCCCAGAAGTGGCTGGCCCATTCTGAGAGGGTATGGAGAAAGCCACATGGCTGGGTTAAGGAATGGTTAGATTCACAGATGCTAGGGTTGGAAGGGACCTCAACAGATCATCAAGTCTGACCCCCTGCCTAGGCAGGAAAGACTGCTGGGATCAGATGACTCCAGCCAGATGCCTATCCAACCTTCTCTTAAAGACCCCCAAGGTAGGGGAGAGCACCACCTTCCTTGGAAGCCCATTCCAAATTTTGGCCACCCTTACCGTGGAGAAGTTTTTCCTGATATCTAGCCTAAATCTGCTCTCTGTCCATTTGTGACCATTGTTCCTTGTTACCCCAAGAGGTGCCCTGGTGAACAGAGCATCTCCGATCCCTTGCTGCGTCCCCCAAATGAATTTGTAGGTGGCTACAAGATCACCTCTCAGTCTTCTCTTGCGGAGGCTGAAGAGGTCCAGGTCCCTCAGTCTCTCCTCATAGGGCTTGTCCTGTAAGCCCCTAACCATATGAGTGGCCCTCCTCTGGACCCTCTCGAGTCTATCCACATCATTCTTGAAGTACGGTGCCCAAAACTGGATCCACTACTCCAACTGCGGTCTGACCAATGCTGCATAGAGGGGAATATCACCTCCTTGGATCTATTTTTCTTGCATCCATGATGCTACTGATGCATGATAAAGCACAGTTAGCTTTGCTGATGATTTTGTCACACTGACAACTCATGTTCATCTTGGAGTCCACTATGACTCTGAGATCCCTTTCCACTTCCGTGCTGCTGAGAGGGTCACTTCCCAGCCAGTAGATGCAGCCATAGGTGAGCCGTAGGTGCAGCACTCTGCACTTGTCCTTGTTGTGCTGCATCCTATTGTGAACTGCCCGCTTTTCCAACCTGTCGGTCTGCCTACAATCATTCCCTACCCTCCGGAGTGTGCGCTTCACCCCACAATTTAGTATCATCCGCAAACTTGGACAGAGTACACTTCACACCCACATCCAAGTCACTGATGAAGATATTGAAGAGTACAGGTCCAAGGATCAAACCCTACGGGACCCCACTACCCACATCCTTCCAGATCGATACCAGCCCGTCTACTACCACTCTCTGGGTGCGACCGCTAAGCCAATTTGCCACCCACCAGACCGTGTAAAGATCTGTGTCACAGCCTCTTCATTCATGTATGAGAATAGGATGAGATACCATATTGAAGGCCTTGCTAAAGTCCAAGAAAACGACATCCAGCTCTACTCCTGCATCTAAGCATTTTGTGTCATAAAATGAAACCAAACTGGTCAGGCATGATCTACCTGCTGCAAATCTGTGCTGGTTTTCCTGCTGCATTATTTTTCCTGCTGGACTCCCACAAATATGATCCTTCATAATCTTTTCAAAGACCTTTGCTAGGATGGAGGTGAGACTGACTGGCCTATAATTACTCAGATCCTCCTTCCTTCCCTTCTTGAAAATAGGGACCACATTGGCCCTTTTCCAGTCCTCCCAGACCTGACCCAAGCGCCACGAGCACTCAAACAGCTGTACCAGTGTTTCTGCTATGACACTGGCCAATTCCTTCAGTACCCTTGGATGCAGCTCATCCGGGCCTGCTGACTTGAACACATCCAGTCCATCCAAGTGACTCTGCACCAAGTCAGCGTCGACAGTTAGTGGGCTGGTGTTCCTCTGATGCCCATCTAAGAACCCATCAGGAGACTTATCTTGAGCCCTGTTCAGGAACACCGAGGCACAAAACTCATTGAATAGCTTAGCCTTGTCCCCCCTCTCTGTCACTCCTTGTTCACTAGGGGTCCTGTGCTGCCCTGCACCTTCCTTTTACTCCCTACATACCTAAAAAAAGACTTTTTGTTGTCTTTAATTTGTGTTGCCAACCTCAGCTCTGTAGTTGCTTTGGCCTTTCTAACTGCCTCCCTGTAAGTGCGGGCCAAGTAGGTATACTCCTCCTTGGTAGCTTCACCCTGCTTCCACCACATGTATGCCTTCTTTTTTGCCCTTAGGCTCCCCTGGATTTCCCTGTTTAGCCAAGGAAGTTTTTTGGCTCCTTTCCCACTTTTCCCTCAACTGGGATTGTCTCCCTCTGCACCCGAAGGATAGCTTCCTTTAGGAACGACCAACCTTCCTGGACTCCCATCTCACCAATACCCCTATCCTGCAGTGCATCATTGACTAGACTCCTGAGCATACTGAAGTTAGCCTTCCTAAAGTCAAGCACTACTAGTTATCTTACTCGCCCACATTGTATGGTGAATTTGACTGATTGGTGGTCACTGTCCCCAAAGTGACCACGAATCTGCAGCTCTCCTACCAGGTCCTCCCCCATAGCCAGCGCCAAGTCCAGTAAGGTATTCCCCCTAGTGGGACCGTATATATAATAAATAAATGCTTTAATCTAGGTATGGGCAAAATATGGCCTGCAGGCTGGATCCAGCCTGCCAAGGGACTGTGGCAGGTCCCTTGGCCCCACCTGGGTCCCCATGGTGGTGGCTCCTTTTAGCTACTGCTGCCAGTGTTGCCACTGATGGACCTGGCCCATCTGCCATGCAACCACTGCTAGAAGTGCTGGATGGAGTGGGCATGTGGGTGGGGTCTCCAGGGAGACCAGCCAAGGACTCCTACAGGCAGGGTATACTTGGCTGGGTGAATGGGATGGGACCACAGGTGGGCAGGGAGTACCATTCTGGGGCTGATGAGGCTGGGGCCAGGATCCCTGGGCTATGACAGCACAGAGCTGGGGCCAGGGCCAGGGCCTGGGGTAGAGCAGCGATCTACTCCCTGGGTGTCCCTTGCTTGCGGCATCTGCACCCATCGCAGGGACATGTTGGGAGTGGACCATGGCTCTGTCATAGTTTCATAGTTTCTAGGGTCGGAAGGGACCTGAACAGATCATCAAGTCTGACCTCCTGCCCTGAGCAGGAACGAGTGCTGGGATCATAATACCACAGCCAGATATCTATCTAACCTCCTCTTGAAGACCCTCAAGGTAGGGGACAGCACCACATCCCTTGGGAGCCCATTCCACAGCCTGGCAGCCCTAACCATAAAGTAATGCCTCCTGATATCAAGCCTGAACCTACTCTCAATCAATTTGTGGCAGTTATTCCTTGTTATCCCAGGTGGTGCCTGGGGGAATAGAGCCTCACCTATTTTCCACTGATCATCTTTGAGTTTAGGGATTGGTGATGGTGACCCCATTTCCCTTCTCTGCAGCCTGTCTCCTGGCATCCCTCCCCTGCCCCGGCCACTTACCTTTGCAGCACTCTGGCAAGAGGCAGGATTCAAGCTGCTTTACCCCCACTTCCTGCTCTCCCACTGCCCCCACACTGCTTCCCCTACCATCTGCCCCCTGCCACCTATCCCCCTAGTGTCTCCCTCACTGCTACCTCCCCCACTGCCTGTCCTCCTGCCATGGCTTTTCCCCATTGCAGCAGTGGCAGGGGAGACAAATTTCAGATGACCCTTCAATAATTAGATTCTGGGCATGGAAAATTATAATAAATTA